GACGACCCTGACAGTGAGTCGCTCTGCCCTCAGCGGCATGAGGAGTCTTCAGGTAAGTTGCGGGAAGGTGTTTCATCTTTGTTCCTGATTTTGACCGTTACATGTTTTGTAATTATCTTTTTTTCTCGTTCCCGGCTCTTTTATCTTAGTTTGGTTCTTTATATTGGCTGAAAATTGCCATAAAGAATTACATCCGTCTCTTCGAAATCAAATGCAGGCACGTGAAATACTAGGATTCTAACGCTATTACACAATCCAAATTTTGCTTAGTGGGTCGAACTTACGTTGCAGGAAATTCACATCGAGAGTGCTTCGGTCATGCCGCTTGCCTTCTACGACCTGAAGAATGTGCAGACGGTGAGGATCACCAGCATGCCGCAGGAGACCGTCCGGGCTCAGAGCTTCAGCTTCGACTCGCCCGCGCTGAAGGAGGTGCTGCTCTTCAACGACGCCCACGGGTGGAAGGGACAGGCTCAGCCGGGCGCGTACCAAGGTAAGTTTTTGTCGAGTTTTTTTTTTTATGGTGGCTAATATATTTATATATAATATATATATATATATATATATATATATATATATAGATAGATAGATAGATAGATAGATAGATATAGATATACATATTCAATGCGACCATTTTTATTATTAGCTTCGTTTAATGAGAACTCTTGGCAATACGAATCATTGTGTATATTTTCAGTTCACATTACGACAGTTTTTTCTTTGTGTTTATATATACATACATATACTTATGTGTATATACACACATATACATGTGTGTAAATACTTATACACACATATATAGAGTAGTGTGTGGCACTGTTTGCTTTGGACGAAGTTCTTGCCTCTGTCTTCTAGGTTTCCCAAAGGGATCTCGCCTGAGAATCCGAGCATCCGAGACGATCGCCAAGGAAGTGTACATCGGCGTGGTCAGCGGCGGAGGCACCTTGGATATACCTGGTAATAAACGTGTGACGTGTACACTCATTTTTTTCATTATGAATATTTTTTCTAGCTGGTCAGGAACTAATAAGGTCATTCATAAACAGGCTTTAGAATTAGTACAACATATAGGTGTTTGCGAAACCCAACATTCCTTTGTTTTTTAAGAACTATTTAATGCATTTTGCCACGTTGAATTGTGAGTAATCCTGTTGTTGAATAGCTAATAACTCGATCTTTCAGCTCTAATTCCCGTTTTCCTTCCTCCAGATCCAGTCGACTGCGACTGCCGCCTGGCCTGGCTGCGCTTGTCTCCGTGGGTGAAGCAGGCCCGCGTCCGCTGCCTTACAGCAAAGTGGCCAGAACAGCTGGAGGAAATCCCTGAGTCCAGATACAGCGACTGCAGCTAGAGCGACGTTGGGATCGCCATGGAGGATGCACTTTAATCCTTCTATTTTCTATTTTCGTTTGGTTTTCTTTTCTTTTGTATCAGTTTTCATTCTGTTTTTCTCTTGGCGTTTTCAAGAGAGGTAAAATTCGAGAGACAGATAATGCTTATATTTTTTTTTTTTTTTTTTTTTTTTTTTTTTTTTTGCAATTCTGTTGAAGCACTAATGCACTCTAATATATTTACCAACATGTAAACTGATCAATCCTTTTTAATGTTTCATATTAGTCGTTCTTATCATAAGAATATGATTTGTGTCCATATGCAAACTGGGTAACTTTAAGCAAATGCAAAAGTGTTAATTTTTGATTGCAACTTTTCAGAGTTGAGAAATATTGTGTATTGTGTATTTGTATCTTGTGTTGTTGCTATTTCCTTTTAACAAATCAATGCATTGTATTGGTATACTGTTTATTGTTTTTCAAGATAAAATATTCTTTTTAATTAGGGAAAAGACTATAAACTACTCATTGCCATAATGAAAAGCCGTATCTCATTACCTAAGCGTTTGTAGCAAAACAAGAGAACCAAGATACTATCCAGTAGATATACATACATACACACACACACACACACACACACACATATATTATAAGTATATATGCATATACATACACACATGCATGATGTATATTTACACACATTTGTTTATGTCTATATATCTATTTGTCTCTTTTATCTCTTTATATATCAACATGTGCAAACATACAGATATATATTTATATTTATATTTATTATATAGTATATATATATATATATATGTATATATATATATGTATGTATGTATGTATGTATGTATGTATGTATGTATGTATGTATGTATATATGTATGTATATACAGTGGTACAGTGTAAAATGACTAAATGCATAACCATCAAAAAAGTAAGACAAGGCAGATGATTATCATCATAAAAAAGTTCTTTTATTTCCACCCAAGGAAATGGTTCCGGGAAGATGTACGTGGGAATATTGAAGTAAAGAGTTCTATGCACGAGTTGCAATACTCTGCATCATTTTCCTGGACTCACTTCTGTTGCGAGGCTCAGCATTTACAGACTCGCGAAGTGGATCACCCAAAATAAAGTTCCTGTTCCTGTGTTGACTGTCCAATGT